CAATATGGTACTCAAAATTGTATCCCCATTTACAGAAAAGAACTTAAAGTTTCTCTTCCATTCAGAGATATATAAGCACAAATAAATCTTTTGTGACATTAAAAGATTACTTCATAGGTTTACAAGTTTGTTTCTGGCTTCAATTGAAATAAAAATTAGTCTGACTGATGTACTTACTTTGTCATCAAATATCAGTTTAAGACATATCATGAGTTGATAGCTATGACAAACAGCATGAGTTTTGATGAAAAAACAAATCTTGTTCAAAAATAATTATAACCTTTTTAGGCAAAGAGAAACACTTTGATAAAGGAACACAAACCAGGTACATATGATCAAAAGGTACAGTCTGAGATTAATACACGAGGGAAATTTTAAAAAATGAATATTTGGACAAAGACAAAGGATGATTCCAATAAACAAGTTAAAAATAGGGTTCCCCCCTTTTGAAAATTAAAGATCAAACACACACACTCACACGCAGGCACACACACACATTCCCAGTGTTCTTTGATTTTTCTTTAAGAACAATCTGTAAACTCTCTTGATGTTTCCTGCTCTCTATCTTCCAGAACTCCTCTTCCTGCAAGATGAGCAGGCAGGGGAAATGCAAACAGCATAGGACAGATGAGGACAGCATTTCCCATGCCTCTGAGAAGCAGATCCCTAGTTAGTGTGATCTCCACTGTTTCTAATACCACACCTCCAGCAGACCTAGGAGACTGCACACTTCAAAGATATTAGAAGGCAACAACATGGTTTCTCTACACAGGACCATATTACATGAATTACATTTTTTTAAAAGCCATAAAAGCCTGTAGTAAACCCTCATGGCTAGAACTGAGATTTGGTGGGAGGGTTGGTTTGCTGTGGATAGTGGATGAGTCATATTGCTAGTTTTTAAGAACATGTCCAGCATGGAAAGGTATTTGTTGAAAACAAAAAGGCTGTGATTTTGTGTGTGTGCATGTGGAGCTTTATTGGGAAGGAGTGTGGGAGAGGGGCGGAGCAGAAAAGGGCTTGATTTATTTTCAAATTCACATTTATGAATACAAAGAGAAGAGCTGTCAGCAGCACACGTGCCAAAGCCCAAGAGCAGCCAGATTTGACTCTTCCCGTCTGGGTAGGCCAGACACAAACCTACATCCTGCAATCTAGGAAACTCAACAGAGTCAGATATAAGGACGCTAATGAGAGAAAAACCAGTCCTGGAAATATCCAGTTACATATCATTAGTGATTAGAATTTGGAGTTTCAGTGAATTGAGGAACCAAGGGATTCTGACCAATCTAAACCAGAAAACTAAAAGGCAAACCTTAAAGCAAGCTGTCTCTGATGCAATGTCCTAGCAGGTAACAAGTTTAAGAGTAATTAACTTCACATACAGAGACATCAAAAAGTCAGACACTAGGAAAGTGGCGTTGCTTAGATAAGTTGCAAGGTCCTAAGGAATCAAGGAGTGTGCTGTTACAGTGCGACATGCCAGAAACTAAATTCAAGGCACTTCCAGGCTCACTTCATACTAGAGAGACAATAGTCCCTCTCTAGGTCATTGATAAGACTGCATCTAAAAGGCTGCGTATTTTTCTCCACTCTGAGATGAAGGAGCTGAACAACCGGCAATAGTTGAACAGCTAAGAAACTGACTTAAAATATATTTCTTCTATAGTTAAAATACTTTTAAAGGAATGTTAATAGTGACTCTTGCACAGGTTTAGTTCAAGTAAAGATTTACATGAGGTCAGTAAAAAAATTAAAGGATAATTTCTCTCATTGTGCTGATAAAATTATGGTCTGGCCAACCTAGGATGTTTATGTTTAATAATGATTAAATAAATGACTAGCCAAGTGAAACACACACAATCTTAAACAGCCTGCACTCGCTAGGAGAGGGTGCAGGAACAAGTAAAGACTGAAGTCAAGGAACTCAGCTACCTCAATGTGTGGTGATTACATCCCAGACGGCTTCCTAATGCTTTACAATTTACAGTGCCAGTTCACATAAATTATTTTATAGGATCCACATCAAAACCATATGGAAAGGTCAGGATAGGTATTATTATCCCCATTTTACAGATGAGAAAGTTGAGTTTCCAAGCCTTCTCTGTTTTATCAGCCAAATCCTAGTACAGAAAAAATTTTTTTTTACATTATATGAAGAGATGATAGCTCTACAATCTAGTGAATAAACTTCGGTGCGCCTTTGTGCATCTATACCTCAGTTTCCCCAGGTATAGTATGACACTGGTATAACTTTAAGTGAGAGATTAAACTGAAAGAATATAAATATTAGTTGATATTTATAGGAAGTCTGGTTTGAAAGAGGCTCCTCATGCAACATTTTTACACTTCAACTACAAAAGCTAAGACAAAAGTCACAATGATGAAAATATTCTTAAATCTAGGGTTTCAACAAAGCAGACTAGATGAGTACATATATCAAAGATCCAACAAAACTTTGAAGCTTACTCCACCGAACACATGATATCTAAAAGTGGTAAATTGTCATAAATGAGTATGATTTAAAAGACTTATTAACAGGTCATTTTAAAATTCTGAACATGTTTGTTTTAGACTTTAAAGCCTTTTTTTATTTAGATTTCTCAAAAGAAATAAAAGTTCATCACTTAAAGAATATAAGAAAAACAAACAAACAGTAACAAAGAATGCACCTCCAAGCTCTGAATCTGTATCTTTGCAACAAATCTAACTGCCAAAAAATCTGATGACAGTAGAATATCAAATAACTTAAGACGGCCAGAAAATGTAAGGTTTTACAAAACAAACGTTTAATTTATAAAGGCGGATCTACAATCTGACTTTAAACTATGGAATAAAAGGCATTCATTTCTGGACAAATATGTAAATCCTGAATGGCAAAATTTTGAGATAATCTTGGGAGTACTGCATATTAGTATTGCATTCTTTGACTTAAATATATCATAAAGTCAAATGTTTTGCTTTGTCACTAAAGAAAAGCCAGGCATTTTAGTGGCTGGATGTCTAAGAACACAATTGTTCATTAGAGATATCTGAACTTCAGGGATAAGGAAAGCTCATCTGCACATTCTGCTGGAGGAAATTGAATATTTACTTGCTCATTAAAGGGTAAATAACATTTGAAAAGGAAAAAAGAAAAGTTTCTCTACTGCTGAAAATGTCTGCCAGTTGTCAAAACATTAATAGTTGCAACTCCTGAATACATGTAAGTTTAATGATGCAACTAGTAGAATTGAAACTTCCGATTAACAAACTGCATGCTTTTTCAAGCGTAGGCTCTCCGTGCAGTAATAAACACAGCAAAAATCAATATCCACTCCAACTTGCCTGCATATGACCATTGTCAAGCACGATTTCAATACTAATGGGCATGTTATGTCAGAGATGCATGCAATAATGCTTACTCCAGAAATAATTAAATTGAGCTACAGGATCATTCACTGCATAGAACTGTTTTCCTTTGCATACATCTCTGATATACATAGCTTTTCCTCTACACGCTGCATTTCATCATCTGACTGAGTGCACAACACACGTTGCCATCTGAATCTGTTGTCTAACTCCTATAGAGTTCTAAACAGGTCAGAGAAGACTGAAGTGAAATAAACATTACTCCCGATCACAGCAATTTGAATTTATTTCCCGGAAACCGGGCAGCCAAAACAACCAGAGAAACTAACATGTGCAAAGTAAGTTCGTTCTCCGCGTCCTGCAGCCTCAGCCAGGAGCGCGGCTGTCACTTCTCCGGTCTCCCCGTCTTCTCCAGCACCCCTCAGCCACCTCTGTGTCTTCATCTGCACCGCGAAACCAAGGCAGCAGAAGCGCTCGCCAACCACGCTGAGCTGGGTGGATTGGCCAGAAAAGTTGTCAGGATCTGCGCGAGACAAGCAAGCGCCCGGGAGCCCGCTCCCCAGCGTCCACCTGGTGAAACTTCAGAGCCCCCAGAGGAGAGAACGAAAGAAGCAACCAACGGGAAGGATAACAAAACTAGAAAGGAACATAGGACGGGATCGGGAGATGGGGTTACACAGACTTCTCTAAGTGGCTTTACCCACAACCCAAAGGGCTAAAATAAAATGCCAGACCGCTCCACATCCCTCCTTTTGGTCCTCGTGGCGGGCAGCGGCCGTTTGCAGCCCCCACCACCCAGGCCGGCTCTGGGAGTAGCTGCGCCAGCTTTGCGGTGGCTCAGCCCGAAGAACAGGCTACCACACCGGTGGTCAGGCTTCCCGGACCCGGCTCTCAGCCTTCGCTGCAGAGGACCGCTCAGTGTGGAGCCTTTGAATCATATTTCAAAACATGAAATGTACATACGGAACCTACTCCACGCAGTGCCCTAACCCACAGGGCAAAGCCAGGAGCAGCTCAACGCTGGCGGAGGAGAAAGAGACTGAGGGAAGGACGGGGAAGTAGTTAGACAATAGTAGGGGAGGTTATTCCCGGGACAAAAAGCACCTGGCAAAGCGCGCCGAGGTCAGTCCCTTGGAGTCTCAACGTTTCTGACAATGGCTTCCCGGGAGGAAAAAAAAAACACACACACAAAAAAACCTTTTTTTTTTTTTTTTTTTGAATACTCTAGTGGCAGACAGCAACAAGCCTGCACTACGAGCAACAGAGTAGCCGTCCCTGGAGTCGTAACTACTTTTTCTTTCTCTCTTCCCCAGCGCCGTGCTGCCCGCGCTGGACGCCGAGGCTACCAGTTTCCCAAGAAAAGCAATGTCTCACACACTCCCGCACAACCTGGCCAGCCTGCGCCCAAAGCGAACCTCATAGAGGAACAATGGGTCGCTAAGACAAAAGTTACCTGCGCCGAGCGACTCCCAGACCGGGGCCCCACGTCCCACCTGGCACAAACTCTGGGGACATCTCTCTCTGCCTCTGCCCTGCCCCTCACCCCCGGGCCGCGAAAGCTTCCCCCAAATTCTTGCCCCCCGCCCTGGAGAGTAGCCACTCTACCCCTCGCGAGCCCGGGGCTAGAGGCAGTTGTCTGGGCCACTCACCTGCGGAGAACTGGCCTTGGGCCGACCCCAGAAGAGGCCAAGGGGAGAGAAGCAAGAGCGCCAAAAAAGCAGGCAGCACCGCTGTCGCTGTATCCATGTCGACTTTGGGAGAAGTTTCAAGCAGCTTTGCAAAGAGCTGCTGGGGTGATCGCAGCGAAATCCACGACTAAAGATGCCGGCCCGGCCTCGCGGGGTGAGAGCGGGAAGTCCACAGCCGCCCGCCCGCACTTTTTCCTTCTTTGTGGTCGCCAAACTACCTCTGGGGCGCCAGCGTCGCCTGCGTCTCCCGCCGGCCGCGGCGGCCGCTCTCCATGGCTCAGCGGAGGCTGCTCCTGTTAGTCAAGAGTTACTTTGCTCGGGGAGGGACGGGGGCGGAGCCGGGGATGACGTCGCCCCGCGGGCTTTGGGCGCTTAAGGAATGCGGGCTCGGGCGCGGCGCCGCCGCCTCCTGCCGGAGAGACGCGCGCCAGCCCCGGCCGCGCGCCCCGCGCCGCCTTTGTTCGCTGCCCGGGCCCGGCTGCCCGCCACTGCTCGTGTGGAGGGAGGACGGGAAAGTGGACTTGGCGCTGTTCGTCGTCCTGTTCCAGAAATCTGAGTTTGAGATGCGAGAGTTTGTTAAGCAATGTGTCCGGGCCGTAGAGGACGAGTGCAGAGAACCCCTGCCGCTGGACCACAGGCGTCCTGAGGTTAGGTCCCCACGGTGGAGGTCCCGGAGCGGTTGCCAGTAGGAAGAAGGGGGAGCGTAGAAGCGCCCTAAAGAAACACCCACCTACATTGATAAGTCGCTGTTCCTTATTCATGTAATAAGTAATAAGACACCCCTCCCCCATTGAAAACTTATTGTTCCTTAGTCATATAAAAATAAAACTTGGACCAAAATAAACGTCCGGTAGGTAACTTTTCAGTGTGAACAGCTGGCGTGTCTCCGTTCTGGTTTATTTATCATTTGCCGAATATTTGGATTTACTCTCTACTTCTCTGATTTTGCTTGTTCTGAAACCTCCCGGCCTCTTTCCACTTCCCTCACGAAGAACCTGAGAACTGCATCACGGCTTATTATCCTTTCCTTTCACATAGGTCTGCTGAAGGAGAAAGGGCTTTTGTTTTATTTTTAATATCTAATAGCTATTTAAAACATAAGTATTTAACAATAGGACTTAACATCGACAAAGAAAACAGCAACGGATGGTCTTATCCGGAGGGAAAGAATGCTATACGCCTACTATGACAGTGAAGTATTTTACAGTTTGCTACTTCTCCAGCAGCTTGAAGTGGCTTCACCATATGCTGAACTTCTTGCTTCTGTGAAAAAAAATGTATAATGAATACTTTATTCATTGTTGTAAAATATCAAGTAAAATAGATGTGGTCACAACTGAATAAACAATATTTATTCAAAATTTTGATGTTATATATACAATTCCTAAAACAATAGAATCTATTAATTGACATATGTCAGTTACTCAGACATTTTTAGCCTTTGTAAATCAACACAATTCGAAACTCAATATAACATAATTTGCCAAGACATACATACCTTTATTCAAATCAAATATATGCTATTAATGACCAGACTTATAATAGAACTGGAATATAGATATAAGTATAGATATAAAATCAGGAAAGAAGAGACTTTTTAAAAAAAATTTGGTAAGAATAGAAGCTTGATTAAACAGAATTTGGAGTATTATAGCCATTTCATTAGCACACTAACTAGCCCAACACTTGTCGGTTCAATTCATCATAGTTAAGTTCATTCTTCCTTAGGATGCAACATAGAATTTTTAAAACTTCATCATCCTATAAATGTTAGCACATTAATGTTCTTATTTCTTTGATTAAAGGATATTTCTAAATCCTAGTTAACAAAAAAACTGAAGCACATATTTTCCTTTCAAAGGACTTAGCAGAACTTTGTGAAATTTAGCAATATGCCTCAAGAAAAAAAAAATCCCTCTATCCATATACTAATTAATCTGTTCTATCCTTGAAAGAAAGACAAAGGAAGTTCATGACTTGATAGATTTGTTTGTTTAAACATAAAAACCTCATTTAAAACTTGACATACAGTACTAGGGCAAAGAACACACAGTTCTTACCTTGCTCATTGTTGGGTCAACTGATGGATGATTCATTTCATTTTCCTCTATCCTGGAGGTAAAAACAGTAACAGGTAATGTTTACAGAGTGTTAGGCACTGTCTTAAGATATACAATGTTTTCTTGAGTTCGGACAACAATTGGATGACTTTCTTACAATCATTACTCCCATTTGACAAATGAGGAAACATAGTTACAGATTAAGTAATTTACTCTCCCAATTGTACATATATGAGTAAGAAGTGGGCGAGGGGAATCAGGGGGCAAGGAACTTCTCTAAAGAAATGAGCATTTAGCAAGGATGTCTTCTAAGTATCAAAGAAATGCAATACAACTTTTGGATAAGTAAATGGGTCCTGTTGTCCTTAGTTATCACTAATGCTGTCCACAGTACCTAATGCTGGCCAGAGTAGATTGACTATTTGTATCTTCCAGATATTACTTGGCAGATATTAGAAACTTACTAGATCTTTGTTTATTTGAAAGAATGAATGAATGTATCATCAATCAATAGAAATACAAATTTGATATAACAGAAAAAATATCAACATGCATTTAACAATCACTAAAATGTTTATATTCTTTGTTCTAAGAAAATAATCTCAAATGTGCAAAGTGTTATGTACACAAAAATATCCATCATTTACAAAAGAGAAAAGTGGAAATAATATAAATGTCCAACAATAGGCAGATTTATGAGCATTATCTGGATAGAATATCTCATAGCAACTAGAAATAAAGATTATTAGAAAAGAGTAAGTTGCAATGTGAGAAAATGCTTATGATAAAATGTTGGGTAAAAATAATCAGAAGACAGTGTAGAGTTTCAATTTGGAAAGATGAAAAAGTTCTGCAGAAGGATGGTGGTGATGGTTGCACAACAATATTAATGTACTTAAAGCTATTGAACCATATGCTTAAAAATAGTTTAAATACTAACTTTTATATTATGTATATTTTACTAGAAAAAATCAAAAGTCGAAAGTAAACATGTACTGTAATTACAGCTAAGAAAAGAAGACTGAAAAAAACCAAACTATAATATTGATATAATTAGTGATAGAAGTAAAATAATAAAAATTAATAACTGTCCTTTATTCTACTTTTTTTGGTATATAATTATAGCATATCTTTTTAAAGAGGACCGATTTGTATTTTGATTGCAGATATACCGCATAGTAACTCCAATCATGAATTTAGATCTGCATTCGACAAAATCGTTTCTGTAAGATTCTTGCTCTATCGAAATTTATTAAGTGTAATTGGAAAATAAGGCCCCCACATAAAATAAGCTTGGAGAACTCTGGACTAAACAAAGTTAAACAGCTTCCTTAACTATACCAGGCTTCTTTACTATAGAACTTTACCATGGTTATCAATATAGTATTGTACACTGTCAATAAGCTGGAAATGGGGAAAGAATATATTCTTTTTCAAAGTTTCATGCCATAGATCTCTTTAATCGAGAAGTATTTCTCAGGATTATGGTTCCAGGGAACAGAATTTGGGAAATATTGCTATAAGCAGCATTTACTATATCTGTATTTCAGTTTTCTTCATATGAAAATGAGGCTAATCAGATTTTTCAAAGGATTAAATGAAATATAAATATTTTTAAATATATATTTTTCCTATAGATGTAAATTTACTTATAGGTAAAGATATAAAAGGGCCTAGGCGATAACAATTGCTGAGTAAATGTTCTTTTCCTTCTCTTGTTCCTCTGAAGGATTATGTTCAAAGTCATACCCAGCAGAAGCAAGATTTACCCAATGACAGGCTGTGAGTATACCCCCAGCATATATTTATTAGCAATTACATAATATTATCAGCTTGTTAATAATAACTAATCGCTTGTGTTATGCTTTTTAGTTTGAAAGTCCTCTTCACCCATATGTTCTCAATTTATCCTCACTCCAACCCTGTGAAGTAGATAGGTCAGGTAGTATTATTAATTTAATATTAACTAATGAGAAAAAGAAAAGTTTAGAGGGATTAAAATACTGGCCAAGGTTATAACACTGACCAATAGCGGAGCTGTCACTCTGACCTGCATATTTTGATTTTGAATCTCGTCTCCACCCCGCCCCCCCCCATATGAACCTAATTCTCATCTCTAAAACTTTCATTTGAGTTAGATGTCAAAATCCTTAATGACATCCATTAGACAGAGCCTCTTGGGCTGTGGGTGGAAATGAGCTTCTATTTTCTCTTTGAAATGAGAAGACTAAGGAGAAGGAGGAGAAGGAGATTAAAAGCACTTCCTTACAGTAATGGTCTTGCACAGGTATGCATGTTATCAATAGAGTCCTTTGGGCAGGGAGGGCAGGGAATTTCCTATGAGATAGCCCTTGAACAGAACAGGGATTTCCAGAAAATAAAATAAATAAGTGCCTCTGATGCTTTTGAAAGCCATTGTTCTGGATGAGCATTTGCATCTACTGTAGGGCAAAGCCTAGTTGCTCCCTGAAATAATGCTGGGACCTGGCCAGTTACTACCTAGATCTTGACACCAGAGCATCTAGAAACAAATAAAATAGGGACGGACAAGTTTCTAAGTCTCTAAGGAAATTCTCCTCTCTGTATGTTCTTAGGTAATTTTGAATAAAATGGAAAGAAATGCACTGTACTTAAAACCAGAGTTATTTTGTAAGTCCCTTGAACCCTTTAAAATATCTATAACTGGGAATTAGTTCAGAAGCACTAAGAAAATGCATGCTCCAAAGGGTTTATCCAGGGAAGAAAAAAAAAGTGAGCAGCTTGAGAACTCGGTGTTGCCAATTTGGAAGAGTAATTTGCCTACAGCTGCATATAATTAACAAGCATGGGTCAAAAAGGAAGCCAATCATAAAAGTGTAAATTGAATTGAAGTGGAGGGATGGGACAGTGACAGTCACTTTCAGAGCTGGTATATTCTGACTTCAGATGACTTCAGAGTCGCTTCCATTTTTAAAAAGCCTAGCCTAATGATGTTAGGAAAAGATTGAAATTGGGGAGGAGGAGGGGAATGTTTGGTCTTCATAATACTCTAGCATGTGTTTGATAAATTACCTTTTCTGGAACATTATGTGAGGCCTTATTCATCCTTTATATTAGTAAGCAATTTCCATGCCAAAAGAAAAAAAGTATCCCTCCCACCCCACACCCCATCCCCGGCTCACTATAAGAAAAAAAGGTATAAAGGAACGAGGTATATAGCATCCCATTGAATCCTGTTTGAATTCTTTTGGTTTGAATAGACAAATT